TATAGTTCTGGAGGTCAGAAGACTGAAAATGGGTCTTACAGGCTAAGAGGAAGGTGTTGGCAGGACTGAGGTCCTCCTGGAGCGAGGGGAGAATATGCCCCTTGCCTTTTCCAGCCTCTATAGGCTGCCTGTTCTCCGTGTCTCGAGGTCTCCCTTCCATCAGTGGCATCACTTCAACCTCTGCTTCCATCCTTGAAATTCCCACTCTGACTCTAACGCCCCTGCGCCCTCTTATTAGGACCCTTGGATTACACTGAGCCCACCTGGTAACCCAGGATAACTCCGCATCCCGAGACCTTGATTGAACCACGTGCAGTCCCTTTTGCCATGGAATGTAACATTCACAAGTTTGGGGAACTTGGGGGCCGTTTTTCTGCCTACCACAAAATGCTAGATATAACCCACTTAAGCAAAGCTCTTTAGGGTCCTCAATAATTTTTCAGAGAACCACTGCTCTACCATGTGAACAGATTAAGGTAGTTATTAGTTATCAGAAGGGGAAACTCAGAAAAGCTAAGTTATTAGCCAAACAGGCTGTGAATAGAACTTCAACTTGAAGCCAGCTCATCTGGCTGCTGGTGAACCTAATATGGCTCCATCGATGCTTTGCTGCCAAGTCCCAACCACCCTAACTGAGGCAACAGCAAAAAAAAAAAAAAAAAAAAAACCTTGAAATTCCCACTCTGACTCTAACGCCCCTGCGCCCTCTTATTAGGACCCTTGGATTACACTGAGCCCACCTGGTAACCCAGGATAACTCCGCATCCCGAGACCTTGATTGAACCACGTGCAGTCCCTTTTGCCATGGAATGTAACATTCACAAGTTTGGGGAACTTGGGGGCCGTTTTTCTGCCTACCACAAAATGCTAGATATAACCCACTTAAGCAAAGCTCTTTAGGGTCCTCAATAATTTTTCAGAGAACCACTGCTCTACCATGTGAACAGATTAAGGTAGTTATTAGTTATCAGAAGGGGAAACTCAGAAAAGCTAAGTTATTAGCCAAAGTCACACAGGCTGTGAATAGAACTTCAACTTGAAGCCATGTCATCTGGCTGCTGGTGAACCTAATATGGCTCCATCAATGCTTTGCTGCCAAGCCCCAACCACCCTAACTGAGGCAACGGCAAAAAAACAAATTATTGTGGGCATTTTGCAGGCATCAAATAAAGGGTGCAAAACAAGCATGCAGAGGTAAATTGGGTAAACAGAAAGGAGGACAGGATGGAGAAGGAGCAATATTACTTTTCAAAACCTTATTTAGAAATATACAAGTTCAAACCTCGTGTGAGAAAGAGTGAAAATGTTATGAATGGCCAAGTGTTCCAGTGCCACGTCAGAGATGAGCGATGGATCTCAGTCCAGAGGAGCACGGATAGGACCAAAGCCCATGAGATACGGGGAGCATGTGCAGCGAAGCACTGCCCTGAGTCACAGGATGGGGCCCAGTGACCAAACTCTGATTCATGGGTACTCACTCGTGTTGACAATGACTGTCAAGTCCCAGTTTTTAACACCCCAACTGGGAAGTCCATCTGAAAGACTGTATTCTTGGGCTGTCTCTGCATTGTTTAGATGTGACCAGAGTTCAAAATGAGCTAATGATCCAAATCATAACTTTCAAAGGGACACATATTTCTAGTAAAAGACGAGGAATGGGAGGCTCACATGGCCAGGCATTGCTCTACCAGATGACCGGCCGGCCCAGGCAAAGCGAACTGGGAGCAATGGCCATTAAATTCCCTTCCCTGCACCCAAGCAGGGACCACTCGCGAGTGATGGCTCCCCAGCCCAGGAGGCTGGGCAGGGACTCCTCTGGAAGCTCTGGCCTTCCCTGGTGAGCTGCTCGAGGTCTACTTAACTCTCTGGGGTGAAGCTTCCGACTGCTCAGCTAACCAAACGAAAAAGCAGCAGTAGTGCCTGAACTAACAGCCAGCCCTAACGCAGGTTATGAGGAGTTAGTAACTTCTGTTAGGATTTGCTTCCCCAGGGAGAAAAAGCCACAGAGTTCCGTGATATTGACATCTTCCAAATGAAAGTGCGGGGTCAATGTCATGAGTCCCTCAGAGAATCTCTAGCCACAGAGCTCAGCACTTCCTAGGGACATTTCAGTGCCTGCCTTTTCTGTGATTACACTAGTATTACAGAGTACCTGTGGCCTACAAAGCTTAAAGGCTTTGCAGATTGGAAACATCACTGCCATACCACTTTCTCACAAAATCCTAATCCACACACACACCGGCTTTCAGAGCTGTGAAGCCTCTGCAAAGGCATGGCATGCTCATCTCCTGCAGAATGCGTGAACTATGAAATCAGGCAGCTCGCCTTACATACATTTTGAAATAATGAATTTTTCATGTGCCAAAGTCAATCTAACATTTTATAGACCAAAAGCGTTATGCTGCTTTCTACACCTCCTAAGGGGATGCAGAATGTAAGGACGTGGGGTGACAGATGATGCCTCTAATTCACAACAGCAAACGGCAATTTTCTGCACTCCGTGTGAGAAGGAAAAGCATCTGCGGGCATAGATCCACAACGGAACCTTTATGTGCAGTATTCTGGATAGGAAAATAGATGACACTTTAAAAGAAAATAGATTGGGAGGCATAAGTAAAGGGGTGCTGAGTGGGAACTCTGTCCTTACGAGTTATCCCAAAAGTAGTGATTCCAATTTCCAAGGAAGTAATATTCAATAGATTAACTAGAAAAAAAAAAGAAAAAATAGGCAAAAGTGTAAGGATATAATATGAGATATGAGTACAGATGTGATTAAGCTAGCTTTCAAAGAAATCACTACTTTAATATTTTCCCATCTGTAGGTAAAATAAAGTAATTTTTCAAGTAAAACTTAAAAGGTTTAAGAAAATTTATAAAGAGCATGTACAGAAAAAAAACCTGATTTTAAAATATCACTTGGGCACTGCCAATTTAGGAACTGTGGTGGACAAGATATCTGTAGGGCCTTTCTGCTATACTATAATTCTGAATAAATTATTTTTTAAAAGTACTTCTTAATGCGTTGGTGAGGCTCCAGGTAAAGAAACAACCCCCAGGAGGATGTGGCAGGAACAGAGCACTGAAACCTGAGCACAGAAGAAAGCAGGAGTTGCCCTGGAGGCGACTCTGAGTGCCAGCAATGGGACAGGCATCTAGCCTTCAGCTTTCAGCCACGTGGGGAAAGCCCAACGAAAGTGGTCCTGGGTTGATCCCAAGAAAGGTTTTTATTGTTAAGACCGAGGCCCTCCTATTATTGAGTGAGATCATGCCGGCGGAAAGCAAGAAATCATAAACACATGAAGTTAAACAGTTACACCTCTAAACAACTGCTGTCTAATTTGTATGGTGAAACATACAACAGAAGTGAAACACTGAGAAGAACACATAAACACAGAAGACAGTGATCGAGTGAGATCTTGCTGGCGGAAAGCAAGAAATCATAAACACATAAAGTTAAACAGTTACCACCTCTAAACAATTGCTGTCTAATTTGTACGGTGAAACATACAACAGAACTGAAACACTGAGAAGAACACATAAACACAGAAGACAGTCCTCATTAGGTGTCCTATGAGTTTTATATTATTCTGGACGAGGATTAAAATACGTTAACTACTGATTGACTTCAAAACTGTTAAGTGTACACTTTCAGGGCAATCATTAGAAGAACAAGAAATAGAATGCATACTTTCCAAACCAGCAGACCAAAAAGAAGAAAAAAAATTGAATGAGAACACAAATCAACAAAAACTTCAATCCAAATGAAAAAATTAACAATAAAAAAAAAACACACAGGGTTAAAAGAGAGGTTAGACTTTGTTTCCAAAAAAAATAAAACAAACAACACTGCAACACTGCACTAATATAAGACTGAAAAATTTCTCTACTTTAAAGTCATTAAGTCTGTTTTCCAAAGATACTAAAAAGAAAGATGCTCAATGATAGTATTAATCAGGAAAATGCAAATTAAGGCCACAATAATATGCTATTTTATATCTGCTAGACTGGCAAAAAAATATCAAAAGTTGGAAGGAACTGGCGCAACAGATAAAGTGTAATAGATTTTCACAACAGAACTTTATTTAACATTAAAATTTAATTTACTACCATTGCATGCAACAAGTGAATTTTAACAACATAACTGAGTGAAAAATGCTAGTTGCAGAATACTTCACATAATCACTATTGTCAAGCTTAAAAATGGACAAAAAGCATCAATATATTGTTTGGATATAAATATAGTCATCATGTGCCAGAATGGAAACTAACTACCAACACTCAGAATCCTGGCTAGTTCAGCCGAGTTTTGCTTCGGGCACAGGACTTTCTCAATGAAGGAAGCCGTTTACTGGCCTATGTTCAGAGCAAGCTCTTCATCTCATCTCAGACTGACGCTGGCAGCGCCGGCCAAGACTATCAACTCCACAGGAAAGGGCAGACCTGGGAACTGTCATCTTCCAGGATAAAGAGTAACTCCAGGTTAAAGGAAAGGGCCTGGCCCCAAATGCCTCTCCCAGGTCTCATAGAACCTTCCCTGATCATTTCTTCTATAAAATTAAATTATTAGTAATAGTTTTGGTTAAAGATGAAAAATGGCTTACACTAAGGCAGAGATTTTCTTTAATTCAAGCAGCCTTTCTCCTTTTAAATGTCAAGTTTAAATGTTAAACTTTTAAAGGTGGTCTATGTGGCTTCAGATCCAGCAGCACCTTTTCAGTCATTTCTGTGACTGGGGCAGACATTATTTCCTGTGCCCTTTGTTCTATGAATTTCTATCTCCCTGGCCCATGTTGTCTTCCTCTTCCTATGAGGAAGCTAGCTTCTTCAGCCCTTTCTCCTCCAAAACCTTGGCTGATTTTGACCTGGGCATCTCAAAGACTTGGAAGATCCCTCCATCCATCAGAGCCTCACACACAATCTCAGAGCAAAGCAGGAGCTATTTGAGGCACTTCAGATCCGTGAGATGTCTGGGAATGGGCAGAACAATGAATTTGACTTACATGCATGCTGGCTTTCATACACCATCTGCTATGCTCCCACTTGAAATTCAGAGAATCCCCAACTCCTGCAGTCACGGAAGCTTTGCCTGGAACAAGAAAGACAAGAAATAAGAAAGAGGGCAACTGGAAGGAACCAAAGGGTCTACTGGGGAAAGTCTCTCTTCTAGAATTAATCTTGACATTTACAAGAAAAAAGAGCCCCTGGAGTTAAAAAAAAATCTCTATCTCAGTCTAAGCCATTGTTAATCTTTAGCCACAACTACTAGTAGTAATTTAATGTTCGTACAGGAAACCATTATTATTTACAAAGAGCTCTCACATGCATTTTCTCATTGAGCCATAAGATCTTGAAAATAGGCAAGTATTATTTAAAAATACTGTAGCTGGCCTGGCCGGTGTGACTCCAGTGGTTGAGCATTGATCTATGAACCAGGGGGTCATAACACAGTTCAATTCCAGATCAGGGCACATGCCCAGTTTGTGGGCTTGATCCCTAGTAGGGGTCAGTCAATCAATGATTCTCTCTCATCATTGATGTTTCTATCTCTCTCTCCCTCTCCCTTCCTCTCTCTGAAAGCAATAAAAAAAAAACACATTTTTTCATCATTAAAAATAAATAAAAATGCAGCAGCTGAACTTCCCAAAGTTACAGAACTTTCCCATGACCATTCAGCCGGCAAGTATCAAAGGAGGGATTAGAACCACCTCTATGACTCCTCATTCTAAATTCTTGTATGGCACGAAATGAGATAATAGTTTCAACTTGGAAAGCAAGCTTGTTATTTCTTCTTGCAGTAGATTTACTTTCTTAGCCAATAGATATAGAAATGGCTTTGCCTGCTGAATGACACAGATGTTGTGTGATAGGATTAAATGTTCATTTACCAGAGACAACCAAAAGGTAGAAAATCCACACATAGATAGTTAAGAAACACATGTATCTTTTTCACATACTCTCCTTTTCTCGTTAAGCCATTGTTATATTGCTGGGTGTTTTCTTAACTTGGAAATAACTTCAAACTTGTAGAATAATACTAGTTCAAAGAATTATTAAGTATAACCTTTGTCTACAGACACATTCACTCAACATTTTCTTTCTGAGCCACGTGGAGATAATCATCAGGGCTTTTTTACATCTAAATACTTGTGAATTTATTCCTTATAAATAGCAGAATACTTAAATAGCCATAATGTTATCTATGTTAGATTTAAAATTGATATAATACTTTCATCTACCACCATTTTCAATTAACCAAACGCACACTGGAGCATCTTTTCCTCCAACTGAGGATCCAGTTCAGGGTCAGGTCTGGTACTAATTGCCATTAATCTGAAGCACACAGCTTTCCTTTGTCTTTTATTACACTGACACTTTAGAAAAATATAGCCCTCCCCCTTATTTATATGAATAAAACATTTCCTTTTGACTTGTCTGACATTTCCTCATGACTCAATTCAGGTCATGCATTATCAGCCAAAACTACGGAGGCAATGGTTTCCTCTCCAGGTATCATATCTGAAAGCATATACAGTCCAGGACCCTCCTTGGCGAGGTTAATTTTGATCACCCCGCCAAGGTTTTGTCAAATTTCTTCAATGGAAAATTGCTAAGTTTTCCCTTGCAACTAATAAGTTATCTGTGGGGAGATACTTTAAGACCATGAAAATACCTGTCCCCTGGCAAAATTTCCCCCTAGATTGAGCATTCATTGGTGATCCTTGCCTAATCTAAACTGGATTGCAATGGCCACAACATGCTGATTGCTCCAATGCCAGCATTCCCTCCACATTGTCAGTCATTACTCAGCGTTGTACATTATTTGTCTATTTATCTACTTATGATCAATATGGATGCGTGAAGTCCTACTTTTTCGATGGTTTATAATTTATCACTGACTTAATTATTCTGGTGCTCAATCTGTCTCAGATTTAGCCAGTGGGAGCCCCTTTATCTTTGTGACACGTCCCATCATTTTTTTCTTACTTTTATATCCTTACTTGCTGACATTACCAAAAAACAAGTTCTGGGGTCATCTTGTACATCTCTTCTCTAGATGAAGTCATTTCTCCAAAAAGTCCCGATGCTATTAGAGACCAAGATCTAACATAACACAGTTTTAAAGGCATTGTCTGTTTGTACTGACTGCTTTTCATTTTAAATATGAATCACATTTTCCTGCTTTTTGTAGGCTTCTTTCCCATTATAAGGTAGACAATTAGAAGGCATTCTGTTTGATTCCAACGGCAATTAAATTACTGGCAGATCCTCTTAATCCTGTCAGGCTTGGTTTTATACCTGGTTAAGACACTACGTCTATTTCAGCTATGTCAGCGGTTCTAGCATATGGCCCTACTCTAAGGTATGGCCCTTACTCCTAAGATGTGGTCTTTCTGGTGTCTCAGTAGAATGGCTAAGGTGCTCAGTGTGGTCTCTCCACCTCAATAGGCCAGAACTCCCCATTTGTCTCAGTACTACATGACCTCTGGTACGGCCATTCTCTTCCAACCCTGGTAGCAGCTGCTCTCTGCTGGTCTCACCTAATATACGTACACATTCCAGCTTCTGGGCTCCCCAGGGCCCTGCCATACAGATCCCAGCCTCTTGGGTAGCCCTGGACTCCATGAGACCACCATGCTCTTAGGGCTCCCCTCCCAGGACAAAGGCTCCAGCAGAACAGCAGGCAGATGAGGGCTCACCTCACTGATTCTCTTCTCTCAAGGATCACGGTCCTGGCTGCCCCATACGGTGTCCAGTTTTCTAGTTTCCCACAGGAGGGCAAGTCCAGCACAGATTCCCCGCCTCCTCTCTGCCTTCAACATTAGTGATGCTTGAGGACTGTGGGGCTGCTCTATTGGAGGGGTTAAGAGTCAAACACTGTGAGCATATTGTAAATGCTCTTTATTTAAACATTTCAAAGCACTCTCTATCTGTGTCTTAGAAAAGTATGTGTTTACTTTTATTGCAGTGCTGTGGCAAGAGATACACTCTCTAGCCACCAGGCAATTCCAAACAAAATGACAAGAAAATGTCTCTATTCCTTCCACAAAGCTGATACTCATTTCGGATAGCCAGCTGTCTATCACCCCAACATACATTTACATTTACTTCTATTACTCTTCTTCCAAATGGAATAACAAAACACAATAGTCTATCCAAAGAAATGAAAGTTAGTTGCTAGTCTTCATTTTTCTTGTTTATGTGCATGTACTTAGGGGTGGGGAGAAAATTCCTTTTCGTATAAATCATTTCCTGATGTATTTCCATTTCTACTTCTAACCACAGTGAGAAAATAATTAGAAAAAAAATAGTCAAAAAGAAAACTGGCAATCCCAGACACAAAGTTAATCAAGAGGAAATTGGCTAACAAGAACACACTGTGAGAAAAGATAATTTTGCAATTACAGGAAAATGGAGAATAGTGGTTCTTACCCTGCACAAGCCAGCAGACTTGCGCCCCTAGTGCGCACTCACAAGCAGCGTCCCAAACAGTGTGCCAGGCAGAAATGTGGGGCGACCACCTTCTACTTCCTGAGCAGATTTTCTCCATAACAGAAATGGCCCAAGCTGGTTTGGCTCAGTGGACAGAGTGTCAGCCTGCAGACTGAAGAGCCCCCAGTTCGATTCCAGTCAAGGGACATCCCCAGGTTGTGTGCTCCATCCCCAGTAGGGGGCGTGCAGGAGGCAGCCGATCAATGATTCTCTCTCATCATTGATGTTTCTATCTCTCTCCCTCTCCCTTCCTCTCTGAAATCAATAAAACTATATATTTTTTTAAAAATTCACATTGCAGCCACCTCATCCATTTTCTCAAAGGGAATCAAAGCATGGGAAGTTATACCTTTCTTTGGTTTTACTTCAAGTCCCCTAGAACTTAAAGGCGAGCAGCTGATGCAAACAGTGTCTATGTTTGTCCCTTGGCCCTCCTCACTGTCCCTATCCTAAAGGGTCTCTTGGATCGTCTTCCCACAGGACTCAGTGTCTCCAAGTGGACGCTGTTGAACTCTGATTCCTTATGTCAGACCAACTGTACAAGTTCCTCCGTGGTTCCTCATTTCCCAGGAATACAATCAGAGCCTCTTGGCTTGAAAAACAAGCCCTCCACATCTGCTCCCTGCTGACCTCTCTACTTCATCTCCCAGCAGTTTCTGCCCCATCACTAGTAAAATCCTTGTAGACATTTGCCTTCAAGGAACACCCTTTCTGCCCTTTCTTCTCTTGACTAACTCACTGAGGCTTGACACCCTCTGGGGAGTAGTTCATGATCACCACTCAAAGCTGGTTTAGTGTCCAGCCTTCATATTCTCACAGTACCTATGTTGACCTTTATAATAATCACTTGTTGATTATTCTAAGTGTACTTAACATGTATTATCTCAGTGACTGCAAATACAAACTCTGTACAGTAGGTGCTGTTTTCAGCCCATTCTACAGATGACAAATGGGCAGAGAGGCTCAGCAGTTTCCCAGTGTCACAGAGCTGGGAGTGCAGGATCAAAGCGCTTACAGCCTTTCCATAAATAGCACCAAACACATTTAATGGAAAAATTAATACTATAACTAGTGTTTCCAGGTAAAGGCCCAGAGCAGCAACAAGTGGTGACCTCAATGGCAACACTAAAAGGGTAAAAAAAAAAGTAAGATGTGAAAGATTCGTCAGAATTCTTCAGAAGAGAATATAACAAAGATGCACATCCTATATAATAAAAGGCCAGGGACCATAAGCGTAACGATCGGAACGACCATTTGATCAGTCACCATGAGGTGCATTGACCACCTCTCGGTCCCTCCCCTCCGGCCTGCGAGCAGTGGCTCACGGCAGCGGGCAGGGCAGCTCATGGCAGGCGGGCGGATGGGGCAGCAGGCGGGGCTGCGAGCCACAGCAAGCAGTGGCGAGCTATGCATGCACAATTTTGTGCGCTGGACCTCTAGTCCATTATAAGGGATAAAAATAGCTGTTATGCACTGAGAGCCTACTCTGTTCTTAGCCCTGTAACAAGCACTTCACAGATGTTATTCAATCTTCAAAACCACTCGGAGGTTCATCAAATGATCCCAGTTTTACAGATGAGGATTCTGAGACTCGGG